AAATAGTTTCGAAGAGTACCATTATTGGCGTATTCCATCACTAACAAATATTTCTTTGAATCGTTGCTTTGATTTTCTTTTTTTAAGAAAAAAATAAAATTTATTTAGAATTTTTTATTTTATTAAAATAATATTTAAATATTTATAATACCTGTTGTAATGCCATAAAATCGAATTATATTTTCATGAAAATCAATTTCACGCTGAAGTTTAAGCTAACAAAATAAAAATGATAAATTAGGAATATAATTTATGTTAACGTACTGTATCAAGACAATCATGGGTATATTATATAATAGTTACTTCGTTAACAATTTCTTTGGCCATGGCATTAAAATTAAAAAAAGATTTCAATGCTAAATGACCATGATAACTTTTCCAATTTGTTCGATAAACTTTTCCAAAATTTCCAAAACCAATTTCTTGTATATTATTAAAATGATTATAATCATAATATTTAATTTGTTTTTTCGCAATAGATTCTTCAATTAAATTAATCCATTCATTTGAATTATCAGTAATTGTAAGTTCAGTGCTATTAGAGTAATTAGACATTGTTATTACTGCGGCAGTTATTTTTACTATGGGAGTTATTTTACGTTGAAAAAGTTCGAGAAAAAAAAAAGAATTTTGGACTATTTATAGAAAAAAAAAATGTGTAATTTGTAAATCATGCTGCGGCAAAAAAAAATAAATTTAGTAAGGAGCAGCTCTGTCCTACGTTTAGACTTACCACCGTACACGTGACTGACGCGTTCGCGCGTTGTTTATATTTATCTCAGAATTTTTTTGTAGTCTGATCTCTATTTGTCACCTGCATAATATTTCACCTGTGTTACCATAAACATATATATAGCCGAGGGACCTGTTCATCAAAGCCAATTACTAATTATTTAACGTTACATGACGTCACAAAATGTCTCTTGTGATATCATTAAAATTTTTCTTTTATGTATATAATTTATTAGATTCCCATTTTTTATTAAATATTTTACGAGCCTATATAAGTCTACATGAGTTTATTACGTAAGATCGTAAATAAATTCTTTAATTATTTAAAAACTCCCTCTGAAACCAATTAAAAATTTAAAATTAAAAAAAAAGTGATGCGATATATAATAAAAAAATAAAAAATTACACCCAATAATAAGTCTTTACAATTAAATTTATATCTGAGAGTAATCAGGTTCTTGAATAAAAATAGGATAATAATTTCTATTTTGTACCTATTTTATATTTATATACAATCTAGACAATTTACGGTCAATTAGCGAATTTTGAATTATGAATATTTCAAATAATTAAATTTATATAGGTGTATTTATTTTCAAAATAAATCAGATTTTATTGAACATTCGAATATGATTGCATAAAAATGCTTAATTAACATTGGCTGAAATTATTTGTGCAATTAAAGCAAAACAAATATTGAAAACGTCATTAAAGCTGAATAATGGGTTTTATGACGTTATATAACGTCGTGATTATAGTATTTTATCTTTATATGAAGCGAGGTTTTTAATTATATTTATTTTTTTTAAGAATATTTACATATTTCCATATAAATTTATACATTAGGTTAATTTAATCGTAATTCAAAGAAATTTGCTACAATGACAATAATAATTGTTCATATTATATGATTTTGTTAGATAAGCAGAAGTCATATGGTCTGAAAATTTACTTCGTAATTTCCTTGTTTTTATGAGATGAATACTTTTTGGATCATATATTCAGATGACATCATTATATTACTGATCATTCATCATTATTTGACTCTATTTGGAAAAAAACTGCATTTTTCAAAACTTGATCATTATTTTTTCGTGCTACTTTATGATCTGAAAACTGTAATTTGGCGTTGAAACTTGAAATATGTAATAGATCATTTTTAATCAGTAAATTTTGTTTCAAACGATCGTAATTTATAAAAAGTTAGACTTAATTGTAAACTTTTATCAAAAAAAAGTAGAAGTTATTATTTAAGTTTTTTAAAGCACATACTGTTTTGAATAAAAAATAAAATACTAGAATTATATTTTTGTCTCCTTATTGTCATTAGAATTGAAGAATTGAATGGTGGAAATTTTTTGTGAAATTTTCTAAATTTTCTAAATTTAATCTGCAACTGTACAACAGCAGCAGATCTGTTATAGAATTGAGAAATGTCTTCTGTTATATTCTTTCATAAAGTTTATAAGGATTCTAATTTTATATGATCAAGATTTAATCTGGAACTTTATGATATTATTTTTCATAAAGGTTTAGTTCATACAATTTACACTCCTATGTCATATTTTTTTTTATTGAATATTGTGAATAAGATGAAAGTTTAAATTTAAGCAAATGTGTTTGCGTCATCAAATAGTTATGTCAATCTAAAATAAGTACTCGCATAAACATTTTTTTCAGAATCTTCAGTTCAAACTTTAAAGGTAACAAATAACAATGTGACATGTAATTGAATTTTGTAAGTCAAAATATTTATTTTGTTACATCATTTCTTTAGAAACTTAAATATATTAATTGCCGGTCGGTACAAAATCTATAATTAATTTCGACGGACTTTTATATATTAAATACTATTGCTCTGGAATGGTGTTTGCACTATATTAAAAACACTTCACAACAATATAAATACTTCAAAAATTTGCTAGAAAAGGGTATTACATTACCTGGGTGTGTTTTCCAAAACCGGTAGGACCAAAAAAAAAAAATAAAAATAAAAAAAAAATATTTTTTTTTTTTTTTTTTTTTTTTTTTTCAATAGTGTGAAAAAAACCTCGTAAATTCGTGTATAAGAAATCTCAACTTAACTAAAATACAAGGTGAAATGGTAACTTCCTCCAAGGTAAACTTGTTAAATTTTATATCGAACGATAAAAAATTTTTTTTGTGTGGCTTATTCATGTTTAATGTTATTGATTGGTGACGTAATTCATATAAAATCTGTGCCGGATCTACAAATTAATTTTGTGCCGTTGAGTGACGGACCGCAATTAAATTATATATCAAATATTAGAATTATTCCATTCCTTTATATTCTATCAATATGAATATATATATATATATTTTTTGAATAAACATTAATTGATTTATTTGTTCCCCTTTTACATTTAATGGAATTGTCCACTTCATGAAACCGTACCATGATAATAAATTAGCTCTTATATTATGCTACATAAAAAGGAATATTTACAATTAATTATTATGGGATGCATTTATTTCACCAAAAATTGTCTCACTGATAATCAACTTACTGACAGTCATTTCACCAACAGGGTCATTTCACCTACAGTTGTTTAGTTGATGATCATTTCACCAACAGGGCCAGGGTCGTTTCAATGACAATTAAAAATATTAATAAATAAAAATAAAAAAATAGATTTATTTAGCTGTTTTCTATATTTAATATACAATTTCATGACTATATTTAATGCTTAGGTAATTAAATACTTATATATATATCTTGGAAATTCCATCATAGCATAAACGAACACTAATAAAATCTTATGCTTAATGCTTTTAATACATAAAATGAATAAAATATATAAATTAGTTAAAATGAATGTTGTGAGCTATTCCTCGAAGAAAGCCCAATAATGGCCTTCTTTATTAGAGTATTTGGCATCTCACTTTATTTATGTGAGAGGCAAAAACAATTCAAACAATAAATAAAAAATTAACATTTTATTATATTCATATTACATAACATTTCTTTTATGTGTATATTAACAAAATTCTACACAATAAATAATTAGTAACTAATAATTGCGTAATTGTGACTATGTTATCAATTATCAAATTACAGTAAAAAATTAAATTCGGTGAAAGAACCCAATTATTATATAAAGATAATCAAATAAAGTCACTAGTATTTAAAATTTATTAATTAAAATTTTATAAATATATTTAATATTCAATAATTCTAATAATTCTACTATCATATTATGATCAGTAAAATTGATAAAATTATAAATTATCTGAATATTTATATTTATAGAAAAATATGGAATACATGATAAAAACATATTACAGTATTACAGTACACTCTTTTAATTAATTAAAGTATTTAACTTATTTTGAGCTTCTTGATATCCTTGTTCAGCAGATTTTGTATACCAATAAATTGCTTTATTTATGTCCTTTTTAACTCCACTTCCATTTTTAAACATATTTGCAAGATTATATTGAGATGTAAAATTTCCTAAATTTGCAGCTTTTTGATATAATTCAAATGCTTTTTGTTTATCAATATTGGTCCCTATTCCATATTCATAACAAGTTCCTAAATTAATTATTTCACGTGCATTTTCTGAATTTGCAGCTATTTGATATAATTCAAATGCTTTTTGTTTATCAACATTAATTTCAATTCCAAAATGATTAAATATTCCAAGTAAAAAAACAGAATTCGAATTATTCTGATTATTCAACAACCAATTATAAATTTCTTGTGAAGTTATATTATGATTATTAAGATAATTAACAATTTCATGTTTCCTCCTTTCCATAACTGTATTTTCAAAAAGAAGAATTATTTCATTAACCATAATATCAAAATTATTCTCTGATGATATTGTAGTATCCATTTCTTTTGTATTCATATTATTAAAATTTTGAATAAGTTGAGACATTTCTCCATGCAATGAATTATTAATAATATTTCTAGGAGTTTTCTGCTGTTCGCTTGATAATTGGACATTTTCATTTAAAATAATTGTATTTAATTTTGCAACAACTTGGTTGATAGTTGGACGATTATCTGGTTCATTATTCCAACAATCTAAATATAAAATAAACTTATAATTAATAAATATAATTATTACAGTATGAACATGATGATTAAAATTTATTTGTATTTACCAGTATATATTTTTATATAATCTTCAGGTGTATTGGGAATGGGTTTCTCTCTAAGACCATGTAATATTTCCATAGCCAAACCAACATCATATAGTTCATTACAAAAAGGTGGGCGCCCACACGATATTTCCCATAAGAGTACACCAATACTATAAACATCACTCTTTTTATTTAATGAATATATTTGAACTTGATTGTTGTTATCTCTTTTTCTATTAAATATTTGTGGATCAACATAAGTAACCATTCCAAATAATCTTGATTGAATATTGGATGATTCATCAATCCTTTTTGATAATCCAAAATCAGCTAATTTAATAGTA